TCGAGTTCGCGAATTTACAGGAAGAAAGCTACACAATCTCGTTTTAGAAGAATAGTGAAGAAATGATAAATTTGGAAATTTGGAAAAAAAATGGAACCCACGACTTTGTACCCACGACCCACGACTTCGTACCCACGACCCACGACTTTGTACCCACGACCCACGACTTTGTACCCACGACCCACGACCCACGACCCACGACCATTAGGCACACTCATCGACTACATGCCGGTTTATAAACATATTTTCTTTTAAGTTGTTTATCAAGTAGATGCACTACATACCGACATTGTCGGCCGACCCACGCTCTCTCGCTTCCTCGCTTCCTCTATCTTTCTTCCTCTCCGACAACCACCGAGCCGAATATGAGATCTTAAATTGTGGCTTCATTATTGTGATTCGATTTCATAACGACTTGTTATTTGTGCAACTGAAGTCTTACACAAGTCTGAGAACCTGTGCTTCGCACTCTTTTGGAGGTTAATACACCCGATTGGTTCATGGTCGATTGCAAACCCCTAAAATAAATAAATAACCAAAAGCTACCGATAAAACATTTAAAACGAAGAAGCCAAACTTGGTCAAACAAAATAAAAAAAAAACAAACAAAAACAAAAAAAACAAAAAAAAACAAAACAAAAACAAACAAAACAACAACAAAAAAAGAAAAAAAGAAAGCCAATGGCCGATTATATTTATGGTCAAATACTCTCCAAAAGCTTAGAAGTACATATCCACCGGTCCTAATCTCCTTTTCATACGATATGGAATTGATGATAAAATGTTGAATCCGCAACTAATATCTGAGATTGATTTTGAGGTCCTTGGTAGCAAAGGGCAGCTTCTATCTTAGTTATTATTATTTTTTCTTCTGCAAAYGCGCTGCATCTCATCTCATCATCTATACTCGTGACCCTAACGTGCGAATTACACCCATTACAGCAATTTCCTCTGCAACTTGTCCCTCAACAGCATTGCAACACAAGTTGCAAAAGCGTTTACACGGTGCAACGGAGACGCAGTCGTTGCCAAAAGTAGAAACGAAATATACTTTTCGCAATGATTGCTGCAACTTGTCTCGCAACATTTTCTAAATTGCGCTGTAGGTTACACGCTGCAATGCTCCATGCAACTTGTGTCGCAACGCTTTGAAAGACAAGTAGCAGAGAAATAATCACTGTAATCACGTCTTAGCTATACTGGACGATTTTTCGGACCCTTGTTTTTTGGCCCTAATGTATGTTCTTGGGTTTAAGAGGTTCTTGGCATTGTATAATTCAACTATCGACGGGTCAAGAAAAAATAATACTCAATGAATGACACAGTCTGAAACAAGATAAAAAACGTGCATATATATTGAGTCTAATACGTGATCGGCAGTGACGAGACGTGCTAGTGATAACTTTTGGCTAGTTTTCCTTAGTCAATGGGGTCGAAGAAGATAAAACTTGGTAAACTTTCTTTGAAGTTTTTGAGCGACAAGCACGGCACGTAATTCAAGGCATCCATTTTCGAATGATTTAGAAAAGGATAAAAAAGAAAAGAAAAGAAAGTTAACGAACACGTTTCGAATGTCATTCCGGACCATGGTCCAGGAAGTTTATTTAATAGTGTCAAAGTTAAAATGAGCAGGACATGAAAGTGCAGTATGAATTCAGACGTGCACCTTCTACATGTTGTACGTGAGCTAGTGAAGTGGGCTGCTGAATTGGGCTTAAATACAAGGGAACTTTACTGAGCGCATCAGTACCGAAGCTGTAACATCTTACTATATCTCTCAATCATATTGTTTACCATTCACCATAAGTGCCTTTAACCAAGTAAAATATTTTTAATTAATTGACAAAGCAGCTCACTTTTCACTAGCTTGGGAAAGTACGGTTTGGAAATTTCACAGAAGCAACTTCCTCTGAACATCTCACCTGTTACCAAAGTAAGAGAGAGCAATAACAAATGAGCACACTAATCTTTAGCAATTTATTCTACTTCTTTGTCTTGTCGTGCACAAATATGAGGACCGTAGCCACTATAAGGCAAGCAAGGCAATATATTGCCTCGGTAAAATGTTCACAAATGACCCTCAAACCTCGGGGGCTTGCATTTATGAGGGTCTCATTTTCAAAATTTTCCATTTTACTCTCGGCTTCGCCGCTCTTTGGCCTCGGTGAACAACTTTTTATCGCTATGCCATGGGTGCTCGAACTTGCTAGCATGGTGGTAAAAGACTTACATTTTTTTTACGGGATCATTACCAAAGAGGGTCAATTTCAATTGTCTGGGGTTTTCAGATCGTAGGTATGGAATTTCCAGGAAAAGCCGTTGAGTGTTACTCAATTCCGTTTTTTCAGTCTGGAAATAATAGCATTAAAATTACTCTAAAAATAACATTTGATCTCCATGGGGTGCTACGAGGGATTCTCGTTGGAACAGGGAATTTGCCAGCGAAGGTCAAAATAATTCTCTACAAACTTTATGATATATGAATATATATTACCGTATTTGATTTTCAAAATAATTCTCTACAAACTTTATGATATATGAATATATATTACCGTATTTGATTTTCCATACGCGAACTGCTTCTGTAGCAAGTCGTTAATTTTTCTGTTCTGCCAAATTCTTCACTTGATCAGGGACTCCTCTTTATGACCTGCAACAAGCCAGATATTGAAAAGCAGAACTGAAAAAAATTCTGTGAAAAATTTAAAAAATAATTTCTTTACCAACACTCGATTGCTCCTCACTAACTTTCCTTAAACCGGGAGAATACGGCTGAATCCCTGTTCCCTGCAATTCATTTTCCTACAAGGGATTCAAAAGGAGAATCGGAAGAGCCGGACTGTGGGGCAATAATAACCGCAGAATTCGAATGTAGTCAGTCTGTAGAGAATAATGCGCATACAATGAAAGTCTTGTTTGATTCCTTTTAACGTATAGTTCGCYCAAAGAAGCTTATATAGAAGGTAAAGCAGTACCATTCAGTGCTTGTCGCTATCAGGGGCCCGTCTAGTGGGGAGGGAGCG